ATGTGGCACAAGTATTTTTGCCACCATGTCATTTAATCCTGCTTGTTAGTATTTTGATTACTTGGAGGATGCATTTGGAAGTCTAAGGCCTGGTCCACACTAACCCCCCACTTCGAACTAAGATACGCGACTTCAGCCACGTGAATAACGTAGCTGAAGTCGAAGTACCTTAGTTCGAACTTACCGCGGGTCCAGAGGCGGCAGGCAGGCTCCCCCGTCGACTCCGCGTACTCCTCTCGCAGAGCAGGAGTACCGGCGTCAACGGTGAGCACTTCCGGGATCGATTTATCGCGTCTAGACAAGACGCGATAAATCGATCCCAGAAGATCGATTGCTTACCGCCGGACCCGGAGGTAAGTATAGACCTACCCTAATATTAGCACTTGGGAGGTTGGTGAATGAAGAGCCACGTTTCAACTTGTAAATATATTTGACTGTAGGGTTAGAAATTTCAATCTGTTGTTTAACTGGAATTTTAAACAATTACTCAAACTTCACAGTTCATTTTTAAAATGACTCAAGAGCCAAATTCAGAATTGGTGTAGCAAGCACAATTTTCCTAATGCTATTAGTTAGAGAACCATATAACACATTGCAAGCAGTAGTACCAGGTTTTTGAAATACAAACCCAGGATATTTAATGTTGTCCACATGGTGCCCAGGAATGGGGGAGGTTGGGGATCAAATTTGTGTTGGCCTTTTTTTTCCCTTATAGCCTGATCACCGGCCTTTCTCTTCCTCTGGATGCCAGCCACCACCTCCTCCCCCATTTTCTTTCCCTCCCATGAAAATAATCTCCTCCTTCCTATTAAAGGTTAATATGGAGCCAGCAGCATCTCTGAGGTCCTGTCATAGCTTGCACAGCCAAATCAGGGACACTCCAAATCCCATCTTTGCACAGTCTAGTATGTGCCAGAGTGTACAATTCAGTAGACGGTTCTCTTCTGAGGCCCACCAGGTGAATGGTCCTAAACTCATGTATGCAGCGTTTCAGGAAAGATTGATGTTAAGGTGGTAGTTTTAAAAGGACTTGCTTAGTAGCAGATTGGCTAAGACATGTTTGGCAAACAGCAACTTTTGTTTTCCCTGTCTATGGACCTGGCCATGATTTATCTCACTTTAATATCATGATACTCCATTATTTGCAGATCTACCTTCTGTATGGACTGATTTTAACCTTTATACCTGAAGCTTTAAGCAAAAAACTTTGCACTGTGCTTGACCTTCAGCATTCTGCAAATCAGTGATTTGAGGCAGGTGCTGAACCCAAATCTCCTGTACTTCAGTTTGCAGTGCTGTCACCAGTTTGGCTGTGCGATGACATCACAAATGAATCTCTAAATTCAGAGGAATTACTAGGGACAAAGAATTCACCTTTTTGGGGGGTTGGGATATTTATTTTACAAAATGCTACCTCTTTGCTTGAGTAATATAATTACACAAGTCAATAAAGTAAAAAGGGTGCCAGTGTTTCCATGATAAATCTTGTTTCTCAAAAGTTTAGAACTTCATTGTAGACTAAAACTTGGTATGGAAGATTTTGGCCCAGGACCCAAACTTTTATTTTAATTTTAGTATTAACTTATTTCATCAACTGGATACAAATAAAACATGTAATAGAAGTTACATAGCAGAGTACTGCATTCTGGTGTTACATGGCAGCTAAAAATTGGGAAATGCAACTGAGCTAAAACCCCAATATTGACTAGGCAAAGATCATGGAGAGAGAAATTCTAAAACTTACACAAGTTGGTGCCACACAAGAGAGAAATGTACTGTCACACCCTACAGAATAGACAACAAAATAGATCAGAGGAAAAATATCAGCAAGCATGTAGATACCAATAACACTTCTAAGTGCCTCAAGGAGAAAAATCCCACTGAAGTTTCTTTGTTCTAAAACATACGAATGGCCATAATGAGTCAGACTGATGGTCTATCTAGCCCAGTATCCTATCTTCCTGCAATGGCCAGTGCCGGATGCTTCAGAGAGAATGAACAGAACAGAGAAATTTATCGTCCAATCCCAGCTTCTGGCAATCAGAGATTATGGGACACCCAGAGCATGATGGTGTTGTGTCCCTGACTGTATTAGGTAATAGCCATTGATGGACCTATCCTCCATGAACTTTTGGCCTTCACAACATCCCCCTACCAGCAAGTTTCACAGGTTGACTGTGTATTGTGTGAAGCAGTACTTCCTTGTGTTTGTTTTAAACCTTCTGCCTTTTAATTTGATTGGGTGATCTCTGGTTCTTGTGTTCATGTGAAGGAGTAAACAACACTTCCTTATTTACTTTCTCCACACCATTCATGATTTTATAGACTTCTTATCATATCCCAACCCTTCCCCCGGATTCATCTCTTTTCTAAACTAAAGAGTCCCAGTCTTTTTAATCTCTCCTTGTATGGAAGTTGTTCCATGTCTGTAATCATTTTTGTAGCCCATCTCTGTATCTTTTCCAATTCTAATATATCTTTGTTGAAATGGGATGACCAGAACTGCATGCAGTATTCAAGGTGTGGGTATACTATGGATTTTTATAGTGGCATTGTGATATTTTCTGTCTTATTACCTATCCCTTTCCTAATGGTTCCTAACATTGTTAGCTTTTTTGACTGCTGCTGCACATTGAGCGGATGTTTCCAGAGAACTAGCCACAATGACTCCCAAGATCTCTTTCTTGGGTGGTAACAGCTAATTTAGATCCCATCGTTTTGTACATATAGTTGGGATTATGTTTTCCAGTGTGCTTTACTTTGCATTTTTCAACATAGAATTTCATCTGCCAATGTGTTGCCTGTTCACTCAGTTTCCTGAGTTACTTTTGTAACTCTTCATAGTCATCTTTGGACTGAACTATCAGTGTTGTTTTAGTTAGATGCTAAAGAGAGTTTTATATGGCTACCACGGTACTCTTATCATGAAATGGATGTGTACTGTAAGGTGATAGCCATATGATACAGTGCAAAGCCATGCAATGAAATTGAAAGACTGTGTGATAAATTATACTTACAATATAGTTCTTCAACTAATCATTTGTCTTTGACACCTTCACCTGCATTCTGGGCACTAATCCATTCCAGCTGGGACTTCTGATATACCAACCCTCTGAAACAGATTCAGAGAATTGGAATATTAAATGGCTTCAAACAACTGCCATTTAAAAAAAATTAATCTGCCAGAGAATTGTTCCATTTCCTCCAAGAAATTACACTCACGTAAGACCCAGGATGGGCAAAATTCAGTTCTGGCCCAGTGACAGATTTCAGATCTGATATCTTGCAGAGCAAGGGTTAAAAGAAAAGGCTTTTTACCATTGGAAAGGCAAAATTCCTGGCTTTCTAAGAGGACCCAGCTTTCTAGAAGTCTCTAAGATATTGAACATTGAAATTGTGATGTTTAAATTTATTTTTAAAAAGATAATTTTTAGAAGTTTTTCTGACTTTGATATTCATTATAACTAGGGGACTCTGATGTTACAGATGGAAGGATACAAAAATTACCGTAGTCAATTTTTAGAAAGGTTGAAAAACATTTTTTGTATTAAAACATGTATGGCATGATTGTGTGAAGTGGTATAAGTTTCACTGATACTTGTTTGGGATGGCTTTGCCACTTGCCAATCCATAAATTATGCCAATAAAACCTTAATGCATCACCTCACTGTTGTTGTGTATAGTCTCTATATTATAGATATATTTACAAGTATATAAACTATACAAGTGCTGCATATGGTTCCATAGTTGACTTTTGCACTTCATGCATAATTAAATGGTTAAATCGCTATTTGAAGAATCTACAGAATATTCTCCCCACAGTTACAGCACATACTTTTTGGGCATAGAATGAATTTTCTGAGAATTTATAAGTACATCTGTTAATTAGAATTACAATTAGTTTAAAAGAAGGTCCTTTAAGAAATTTAGTACTATTAGACCACTGTACTATGTTTTTGTCCCAAATGATCTTGATGGTGAAGTAATAGACTTTTCAGACTTCCCATGTTGTATGTGTAGGTTACATCTGAAAACTTTTTAATTTTTTTTAAGGATTAATGGCCATTTGTTGTTGTCATACTTCATAACTGAAACTCTTCTTTAGCATGGGCTAACGAATAATGAATTCGCTGTAGAAGAACCACAAAGAATTCCCACTTTCAAAATGGCTACTATTTCTCATTGTTCTCAAGGCACTGGAATCACAGCAGCCCTTTACAAAAGTTCCCTCTTTCAAAATTGCTACCATCTCTCATTTTCAATAGGGGCGAAGCCAAACTGTCCTTAGTTAAGGTGGTGGCCCCTTAGGGTTGCCAACTCTGACTGAAGCTTTTTCCAAGAGATTTTCCCCCCAACACGATGTAATGTCATTTTCTGAAAATATCCTATTAAAATCTCCTGGATTGCTTTCGATAGTCACCAGGAGCTCAATGCCAATTCCGGGAGACACCAAGCCAATCCTGAGGGTTGGCAACTCTATGGCCCCTGATGGCCTTACATTCAAAAGGAGAAAACTCCCATTAATGCAAATTCACACATGTCAAAAGGAAACTTTGACTTAAATTCAGGACTGTAGTTGTAATGCTTTTCAGGTGGACACACAAATTTACTTCAGATCACATTATTCACCTCATTGTTCCAATAGACTTATAAGACTGAAAGAGTTCACTGCCTGCTCGTTACCACAGCCTTTAACCAGTTATCATTTGTAACAATCATAAGTGTGTACCAAACTGGAAACTATTACATTGGAAACATGATCCTGTTCAGAATGAATTCTAGCTAACTTCTGATTAAACAAAAGTTGCCATAAAACACAATCAAGCTTCAAAATCATTATTCAAATCAATATTCAAAAAATTGGGAAAAAAGATTGACAACATGCTGCTCCATTCTAAATATTTAATAATCACTTTTATTCTGATCAAAATTATTCTTTATATACTTTCTTTTTTTAAATGGCTGTTTCCTGATGGAATCCCTTTTCTTTTGTCTTGCAGGACCTGCGCAAACAGGTAGCTCCATTATTGAAGAGTTTCCAGGGGGAGGTAAGAGACCATGCTTTTGTTTATCTTGTCGCTTCTGATTGCCTACGTTTACGTCAGTCTAGTGTGATGTAGCCACTCAATGGGGCTGTGTGGACCAAGGGGTCCATAAGCATGGAGCAGTTTGCAGGAGCAGGGTCCATGTGTGTTTATGTATATGAAAAAGGAATATATTTTGGTTTATACAAATGCTTAAAAAAGGCACCTGTTCATATGTTTTAGGAGTCCTTGATATAAACTAAAAACATTACAAATACCCTAAGTGCTGCAGTACAATGGAAGATACACTGGTGGTAGGCTGTCAGGCAACTTAAAAACTGAAATCTTCCACCCCCATCACAATCCTTCCACCCCATTTTCAAATGCCTGGGGAAAAAAGATGAGCTTTACAATGTGCCTTGAAGTTCATGCTATTAAGGTCCGGAGCCAGTTTCAAAGCCTGGAGGAGGGAGTGGCCCTCACAGACAACACTGCCAGCAGCCCCCTTTCGTTTATAACAGTGGGGCTCCAGGTCAGGAGCTCCCGCTGATCTCAGCTGTGACATAGTGGAGAGAGACTCAGTATCTGGGGTAGGTCCTAAGCCATTTAGATCCTAAATATAATGTAAATGTTAATGTATATTATGTAATGTGCATGTATAAAATATATATAGGTTTACACTGAAGAGGGAAAACGATATATAGAATATGTAATGTGTAAATTTTCCCTCAAAGTTGAAACAGTAGACTCTAAACAGCTTGTTGGACCCTAATGTTAATAGGTGATACTTGGAAGAAAAAATAATTACAGAAAGTTCTAACACCGTTGCTACTACTTCTGTTCCCAGAGACTATTCTCTTTAGAATAGTCACAATTTCAAAAAGTCAGCCTGTAAGGATTTTGATGTGTGAGGTCCTTTCCTATGGGAAAGGAGGTTGCAACTTGCCGCAGAATTGTAGGTTTTGACTGTGGCTGGCAGTGAAGCACTCGTTGCAGGTGTTGTTTTCCCAAACAGTAGTTAGGCCTGAGCGGAATTTGTGTATTAATTTTAATGGCTTTTGGGTCAGGCTGTAACACTTTAAAAAGTAATATGCTCTAAGGCAATGTCTGCACAGCCCTGCAGTGTGGACTACGGTGGTGTGAATTGCAGTGCTCACTGGTGTGCTGTGCTGTAACTCCCCTGTGTGGATGTTGTGGGCGTGAACTAAAAGGTGCCTAATTCACCTTAAGTTAGGGCTGGTCTACACTTAAAACGCTGTAGTGGTGCATCCACCTCAGTGAGAGGCGGTAGCTATGTCGGTGTGAGAAGCCCTCCTGTCGACATAGTGTCGTCTACACTGGATGTTAGGTCAGTATATCTGCGTTGCTTTGGGTTTTTCATATCTCTGAGCAACATAGTTATACCGACGTAAGTTTATAATGTAGATCTGGCCAGAGTGCTCTTTAAACAGGACTAAAAAGTTAATGTGAACTAGATAGCTTTTAGTTTGTGCCTGTTGTGTCCGGGTGGGGGAGTTACAGCACTGCAAGCTAGTACATGCTGAAATTCATATCCCCGTAGTCTGAACTGCAGAGCCATGTTGACAATTCCTGTTTCTTCACTGGTATTTTTCTTCTGGTTTCCCTTGGTTCCATGGCATTGCTACCACACCAGAGGAAAAGATGGATTGTGTAGAGCAACCCACCAGTGTTTTTAACCTGTGTCAACTAGACCTGCTCTGAGCAGAGCTCTGAATTGCACTGATTAAAATGTCAGTGGCCAGCGTGCACTAGTGCAAGCACCTGTGGAAGTCACACTGAGAAAAACAGGAACTATTTATATGTGACCTTATACCATAAGAGAGGTTACATTTTTATTTAGAAAAATTTCAGATTTTAAATTTAAACTCATACTTCTTAAAAAAAAAAAATAATTGTGCATCAGAAGCTGTAAATAGTGGCTGTAACCTCATACGTTATTATGTGTTGTAGGTCTCTTACCTCAAAGAATGTACCACAGCTGCAACTGTGTAATGCTGATACCCCCTAGTCATTGGTGGGCGGGATCAAACCTGGGACCTCTGAAGCGTAGTGTATGAACATAATGGCCGTACTGGGTCAGATCAAAGGTCCATCCAGCCCAGTATCCTGTCTAGTGACAGCGGCCAATGCCAAGTGGCTCAGAGGGAGTGACCCTAACAGGTAATGATCAAGTGATCTCTCTCCTGCCGTCCATCACCACCCTCTGAGCATCTACTGTATGAGCTAAAAGCCATGTGGCTGTAGCAGACTCATTAACATCTAGGTGGTCTAAAAGGTGGAGAGCTAAAAGCCATGTGGCTTTTAGTTAAGGCTGTAGCAGACTCATTAATCTAGCAGCTTTAGGTTACATCCTTCCCCTAGTTGAGGAAGCCCATCCTGAGCTTCAGAGACTTCCCAATTGATGAGCTGGGATGAGCCCCCACTTGTAATGCTGACAGACCTGGGTTGTTGGCGGGCGGGATTGAACCTGGGACCTCTGAAGCTTAGTGTATGAGCACCTACTGCATGAGCTAAAAGCCACATGACTGTAGCAGACTCATTAACGTCTAAGTGGCACTAGACGGGGATAGGGCACCACACCCAACAGGCATGGGTCACACTTGCTAAGTGTGTAATAAGCTGTAAAATGATTATTTTACTGTTGCAGTTCCCATCAGAGCATGGAGAAATTTAGGAGTATATTTTCAGCAATCTACATAGGGAATTAAGTGCGCACATATTATTTTTGATGAGGGTTATATTTCTGATTCTTTGCACATTCTGCTGAATATGTACCTCAAACAAGCAATAATTTCTTTGCTTGGAAGCAGTATGTTTTTTTAACTACTTAATTTCCCAAGCACAATTATAAAAACTTATCAGACCAAGTTCCTTATATAATAGCAACATGCAAGGAAAAAGAATGACCTGTGTAAATCAGTTTGACAATGGGAACTTGCATATTAACGTTGCTTTATATGAATTGTAACGCTCTATAAGACTCTTTCACTTTGGTTTCCGTCTTGTAATATATTGACAGAAGTCTACGTATGTGTACTACTTTTCTCTAATGAATGGAATGCTGCATGCCCAAGTATGTGTCATAAACCCTGATCCTGCTACATTTAAAGAAGCTTCTCCAAACATGTCCTATCTATTTTAGAGAAATTTGCACTTGTATAAATATATCAATGTTGCAGCGAAGCAAACCTCTGCTGTAGTCTTACTGAACTGATATAAATCACGGTTTGTACTGGTTTAACTTGCTTTGGTAAGTTACCAGAGTAAGACATGCTAGTATAAACCTCATTTTACATCAGTGCAGCATGTCTGCATTAGGGCTGGCACTGTTGTAACTGCATCTATGTTGTCACATTGGTGTGAATCTCCCTAAGGGTAGGTCTATACTACCCGCCGGATCAGCGGGCAGCGATCGATCCAGCGGGGGTCAATTTAGTCTAGTCTAGATGCGATAAATCGATCCCCGAGCGCTCTCCCGTTGACTCCAGTACTCCACCACCGCGAGAGGCGCAGGCAGAGTCGACAGGGGAGCAGCAGCAGTCGACTCACCGCAGTGAAGACACCGCAGTGAGTAGATCTAAGTACGTTGACTTCAGCTACGTTATTTACATAGCTGAAGTTGCGTAACTTAGATTGATTTCCTCCTCCCCCTGCATCCTCCCCAAGCCCCCCCAGTGTAGACCAGGCCTAAGACAGGCCTTAGAAATTCCTTTTATCTCCAGCATAACTACCCTCATCATAACAGGTTTCAGAGTGGTAGCTGTGTTAGTCTGTATCAGCAAAAACAACGAGGAGTCCTTGTGGCACGTTAGAGACTAACAAATTTATGCTTGTGCCCAAATAAATTTTAGTCTCTAAGATGCCACAAGGACTCCTCGTTGTTTTTACCCTCATCATGTCAATTATATATAAACATAGATGACTCTCAACCATGGTGTTTCTTAGAAAACAGTGTATCAGCCTTAATGTGAAATTATTTCAGTAAATAAAAAAATATTAGCCCAGTTTCTGGCAAGTAATAATGCACTATCTACAGCTGGTTCGCAAGTGTTAGTCTCATTTAATAACTTATTACAAACTTATGTGCTGAATGCTCCACAGAGCACAAGTAAGAGGCATTCGAGGCATAAGCTTTCCTCCATTTCAAGTCCTCTGAAGTTGTGCGTCTCACCCCACTCCCAGAGATATTGCAGCATGTATCATACTTGTAATTTTACAATCGATATGCAATCCTTCTGGAACTACCTTTTAGGGGTCATGCAAGTGTCATTTTCCCCTTTAGATACAGAATGGTTTTGCAGGGTTTTAAAATATTCTTATGCTGTTGGAAGTATCCATTGACTGTCCTTTGGCATGTAAAAGAGTAGTAGTAAATGTTTAGCAAACTTCTGCCATATAAGGAGAAACAAGCCTCTACAGGTCTGCTGTAGGATGGCTCTCTGCTCCAGTTGGGCTCCATGTTGGCTGTGACTTCATGAGAATAGTTCATGCTGTGAGGTATCCTGGAGTGGGGAAGCATGTGACATCAGTGGACCAGACATGGCTTGGAGGAGACGGTAAACTTAAAATCACTTATGTTCTCACCATTCTCCTTGTGCATAATGTGTGGAGCATTCAGCACATATACTTGCTGTTAGCTAATCTCTTTAAACCTATTCATTGGTTTCCTTCAGTAGTAGATGTTTTGCTTTTAGTTTGATCTCTCAAATTTTCTTTATATTTCACTGCATAATATGGATGGATATTTATAAATATAAAAAAACATAGCCAGAGTGTTTTGTATTCTATGGATGTTTATCTAAATCAGGGAAATTGCAGATGGAAACTGTTTCAATTACCAAATATCCAGTTTCCATTAGTTGCTGGAAAGAGCTGTTTTCATCTACAGATCTTGGAACTGCAGATTTTTCATGGTAACATTGAATGTAAAAGCCTTCTGAAATAGAATTTAGGATACTGCAAGTTCAAAAATGTACTTAGAACAAATACAATAAGAAAACCTA